GTAAATTCTGCTGGCTTTGACTGGTTGGAGAGCAAAGACCAGGCAACAGTGGAAATGTTGGGTTAATTTGTGCTTTTGTGTTGTTTTGATATTTGGATAGTTTTCCATGTATGTATTTTTGAAATCTCATCAGCGTATGTATTCATCTCGTTGTGCAGCACCTACATGTACTACTATAAGCCCCTGGATGTCATGACACAGGACCGTATTGAAGTGCCAGGCTGAACAGAAATTATCGCCCTTTAAAGATTGCTGGTTCTTTGTCTCGATGGTTAGTGAAACACAGCCTAACCTGGGAGTACTGTCACATTTTTCCTCCTTTTTCCCACCAGTTTTGCGAAGAAAACATATCCCAGAGCTTTACATAAGAAGTTGTCAGAGACATTTTTATGCCTCTACACTGTTTTGTGCATTCAGTTTTATATAATCCTTTGAACATTTTGCAGTCAAAGGGCATTGTATGGAAGATTGGAAATTAAATTATTTTTAACCCTTTATCTTAAAGCAAAATATTTGTATTTTGAGGTACTGTACCTCATCTAATTAGCTTTTTCACTCTGTAAACAAAGTCGGTGCTTCCATGTGCAGAAAACCATAATAAGCGACAGCTTTGAACATGTTACAGCAACATCTGTATTTGTCTTTCAGTAAACAAAGAATAAGGGAAGATCACGTCAACAATGTCAAGCTTTCAGATGATGCTTAATATTGAAATACAGCAGCTTATACCTGCAGCAGCTGTTTAGAAAGTAATAATTTATTGCACACAAATGTGCCACCATGTTAGAATTTATAACGTGAGCCAGTAAGTAATTTATATTTGCAGCTTTATTCTAATTGTCAACCACTATGTCAATTGGGAAGTATGCATCTACTTGCACAAAATCGCTTGTTACATTAAAGGGGTCATATGATGCGATTTCAATTTTTCCTTTCTCTTTGGAGTGTCACAAGCTCTTGGTGCATAAAGAAGATCTGTAAAGTTGCAAAGACTAAAGTCTCAAATCCAGAGATATTCTTTATAAAAGTTAAGAGTCAACCACTCCTACCTAAAACGGCTCGTTCTAACACGCCCCCACATGTCTACGTCACGATGTGGGAAGATTTGCATAATGCCGCCCAAATGTTCACGCAAAGAAAGAAGGCGTAACTTTAATTATTGCTGTTGCCGCCGCTGCCATGTTGTGGAGACACTGTGTGTTTCGTTGTGAAAGCAAAACTACTTTGTTTGGCCTTCCAAAAGAGGACACAACTAGAAATCAGTGGTTAAGTTGTATTTACTACACTGTTCCAGAACAGTTCAACCCAAATATTCAGATGTGTGCTGCGCATTTTATGGAGGATGAACCAGTAGCCTACAATGCATCTGTGGCACAAAGGCTGTTTCTATAAAGTGGGGCAGTTCCTACTTTGCAAGGACATTCTGGCGCTTCTGACTCACAGCCTGTAAGTACCGTTTTTTATATTTAAAGAATTTGCCACTGATGATTCAAATGCGAGTTTGAGCAGTGTAGAGTAGGCTTGTTGTTTGTTGTTTCACCGATCACAAATGCAGACATGGGTTTATGTTTACGTGGCGCAATACGCAACGCATAAAAAGACAGTATAAGTCATTATAATCAGTAATTATGTCCCCACTGGATCCAACAAATGCCTCATTTGTAATGGGTTTTATTGGTTTTGTCTCGTCCTGCTGGGAGATGGTATCACAGTATGGTGAGGGGTGTAACATTTTCGTCACACGCTTGAGGTATTCGGCCAATCACAACGCACTGGATAGCTGGCCAATCGGAGCACATCTCGCTTTTCAGAACGATGAGCTTTGTAAAAATCGACGCGTTACAGAAAGGCGGGGCATAGAGGAGAAACAATAATGTACATTATTTGGAAAAGAATGTGTTTTTTTAACCTTAAACCGCATAAACACATTTCATTACACCAAATACACAAAATAATGTTATTTTTAGCAACGTCATATGACCCCTTTAAATGACTGATGAATAATGTTCAAAATGAATAAATGAGTGCACTTTTGGTATTTAAATTTACATATGCTAATATTTAACAATCAAAAACTATGAAAGATAAATATTGACCCAAGTAGAGTTTTTTTTTTTTTTTTGCCAGGACATTTCCCTAAGCTGCGTCTCGGGTTTCCCCAACCTCTAGATTTGAATATATCAATCAGATTTTATCCAACAGAACAGGCTGGGTTTAATTTAAACCCAGTCAATGAATAATAATGGAACTGGTTATTGCACTATCTGGCACCTTTATAATTGCATTTACATTTGAATATGGTTGCGAAAAGTTCTCATTTTAAATGTAAGAATTAGAAGGAAAAAATGGGGGTAATAGTAACTGGAGAAACCAAAATGCCAAAGTGGATTATAGTTGTGAAAGAAAAAATGTTATAGAACAGTTGTCAAACTATCCCAAATGTTTGTTTTATTGTTAACTATGCATTTATGAGGCCAAGAAATAGATGATTAGCCACTTTTCTGGCTCTGTATTAATTTTCCCCAATTAATGCTTGTTATTTGGCAGTTTGCATAAATGAGATTCATTGAAGTATACTCTCATGCACATGCCTTGTTTTGGCATCTTCAATGACTGTTTTCTACTTGAGCACTTCATTCAGGAACTTCTTTATAACATGCACTATTGTAGAGCCTTTACCCCTTAATCAAAGTATCGCACCAGTTATAAAAACATCAGGAAACCGAAAATACCCAGATCACATTACTAATAAATGAGCTCAGTGCTAATATCATCAGATAGCCCCCCCCCCCGCTTTGAAAGCTGGAATGAAGACATTTAATTCAAAGGGCCATTAATGTACTGAAGTACTTGATTTCAGAATAGCAGAGCATAACATACACTTGCTGAGTGTGGTAGTTATTGAATTCCATCTTAGCCTTACTTCCATACCAAAGACAAGTTTTGCAATTACTGAGAAAAATGTAGAAGGAATTCTACCATTTTCGTATCACCACTTTCAAATTTAATTCTTAAACCAGCTTTTAAGATGCATGTTTTAAAATGCATAGATGAAAATGTCACCCAGGTTTAAATGGGGCCAAGATTGTGGGGTTGACAAGGGAATTGGTTTTGTGCATAATTGTCATTTGCATACGACCACTGTAGCACTTAAATTTTATTTACATGACATGTCAGACTTCATGCTTCTGGTATTTGTAGCAGGACAATTCCTAGGGGATGAAAAAAAGTCCACTATGGAATTTCTGTTTGTTGTGACACTCTGTAAATAAGCTCCATTTATAAAAGTAAAAAAAAAAAAAAAAAGACACTTTATTACCAGTTTGACTAACATACATATTTACCATGATGATAGTGATCCAGTGGTCTTTGACAAAGGTTTTGTTTTTGTTACAATTAATAGTTCACATAATTAGACATCTCTTGTATAGATGGATATAGCTTGTTGTGAGTTTTAATTTTCAAGCATTTTTGTCATTTATTTATTATCTGGCTTACCTTATACCTTTACCTAATACCTTTTTTTTTTTTTTTGCAGAAGGGTGTGCTTTTGTGTGAGAATATAGCATGGATTTTAAAATGTGTTGTTGTGTCTTTTGCGTATCTTTTCTTCTTTTTTTTGGATGCACAGGGATCTAGCACTTAACACTGGAAATGTAACAACTGAAAATTCACAAAGTTCTTGTGGTTCTTTTTATTGCACTAATTTCATTGATGAACTTTGGCTTTGAGAATTTCAGTGCAATACATGAAGCCCCAGTATACTGTTTTGAAGAGCTACTGTTTGGGGGGAAAAAAACAGATTAAAGTGAAAAAGTGTCCGTTTGTGTTCAGGAGCCCTTTGAGGATCTCGGTGAGAAGTATTTACATGTAAATGAGTGAAAGCAATTGAAATGTTCAATGAAAACATTAAAATAATCCATTATCAAAATCGTAAATATGCATTTGATCACTGTACATAAATCAGTAACATGAATTCTTTACAGTAACATTAATATAGAAAATTCAGTTGTGACCTGTTTTTTTTTTAATTTGTTTTATTTTTATTTGAACAATGTCTTCAACATGTACTATTTCCTTCCTCTTAAAAGTATGTATGTGAATATTAGTTTTTTGAACAAGCACTACTATTTCTATTTTAATGAAGAGGCAGGCCAGCAACGTGACTATTATTCTCTGACTTGGTAGAATTTCTTTCCTACCTTTACTATTCCCTCATGTTATTATTGTTTATGTACAGACTCTTTATGGTAGTTTGATCAATTTGTTATGACATTTCAGCAAGATTTTCTTCATTCTTTTGTATTGAACGTGCTTACTGATGTTGAGATTTTTAAAAATGGTTTTAAAAACCAATAAACTTTTTCTAAAGTATTGCAAATAATTTGTTCTGTCTGTTTCAGACAATTTTGAAAGCTGGATTGGCTTGTGTAAAAACACACACACACACACACACACACACACACACAAAAAGAGTACACCAAATCTCTTTTTAAAGATTAATTTAAATGATTCTGTGTAAAGAATGCCAAAACTTAGCCCTGGATGCAAGTCAAGGACTGTCAGCCTTATTTGTGAACTAACTAAAACAGTCAACCAGTTCAAGCTGTATTTTGAGCATTGAGAAGCAGCTCAGCCAGATCCCTATCAACTTAAAGGTGGCTTTAACCAGGTTGACTTTAGCCATGTAAAACCAACCTATTGAAACTGATATAACAGGAATTTCTGAGAATGTTTTAACAGCTATGTACATATTGAATATATTGGGATATAGTGTTTACAAAAGCACTGTGTGTTTCATGGGAAGTGATGATGAGTCACTTGTTTTGCATGAAATTTGAACTCGACACACAAACAAAAACCCATCACAAATACATACAACTTCACGTGACCAGCAGATGGCGCCATAGCACACTATTTTACTCCATAGCACGCTCTAGTCTAGTCTATACAGTACGTACTCACAAACTAACATGCGAGGTCGTCAAGACAGCAAACATATCCTTTAAAACGTGCTACTCAAATGTTGTACTGCTTCTGTAATTGTCTTGAGTGAGCTCATATCAGTCGCTGTATTTCCAGGCGCGTGACTCATCGAAGTTCACTCGGTCTGTTTCCTGACGACGTCACCGCTTTGCTCTTTAATTTGACTAACTTCCAGAGCCTCGGCTTCATTCATTTCAGTGTTGACAGCGGCGCGTGGCGGGCTAGGTGCTTTTTCTCTTTAGATGACTTGTTGTAACAAACAGAAAACCGCGGTGGAGAGCGAGTTTAACTCATAAGACTTTGTGACCACGGATGAACCATGGCTTCAATAACGTGTCGAGCGCAATACCTGGAGGACTCGGACCCGTTCGTGTGCTCGAATTTCCCCGAGCCCCGCAGACCTCTGCAGTATGACTTGAACGAGCATTTGCTATTGAACGAACAGATCGGCGGGATTCACAAGCTGCTCGAAGCGCCTTTGAAGGTCAGTGAAGCTCATTTACCTCATAAAGGTGTGCTTGGCTTACCTGCGCCGAATGGCTGCTAAGTGTCAGCGTGAAGAGTTGATTATTTTAGGCAGTAAAGCTGCGCGACGTGGCTAAAGTTTGTATTGTTTAGTAAAAGGCTTGGTTCACTTTGTCGTCGAACAGTCCATAGCTTAATCTCCTGGACCTGAGTGAGTTTATGGCGTGATAGTGGAAGGGAAAACCTGAAATGCTTTTGACAGCAACATTTGAAGTTCAAAGTAGTCTGTTAATAACTAGTTTTTCTTTTTGTGTTTATTTTACTTGTAGTTATATATAATGTAACTGGATATATATATATATATATATATATATTTAAATGGAATGAGATTTAGAAATGTTAAATACATATTTTTTCGTCATGGGGACAAGATCAAACCTAGCAAGATGTCCTCTAAGAAATGAGTTCATTTTATGTTACATAAGTTTATTAAGCACATCTAATAGTTCACACAAATACAACAAAAACATGGTATTTGTGCTTCTAATACTTAAAAAGTCAAGGAACACTAAAGTGTACTGTATTAATGGAATATGTACAGTAATACAATGTTTCAAAGAAGTAAACGGTCAAATTCAAGATCTCATGTCCTCTAGGTTAGCTGACCCCCCATTCACTTGCCTTACTGAAGATGCTGGAGCTTCAACTTTTTAATTGAAAGGAATCAGGACAGTGTGTAAACATTTTTGAAATACTGTGCAAAAATTGATCCATACATGTTGCGCACATTTAAACTCTAGTCAGAGATGTGTTTGCAAGTGTCTTTATTTGTACACAGAAGAAATGGTACAGAAGCTGTCACTTGGACAGTACCCTTTCAAAAGGTACTAAATTGCACCTTTTAAGTACTAAAATGTACCATTTTGGTACTATTGTAAGGTACTAAATTTGCACCCTTTAGAGATAAAGTACAAAGTATACCTTTGAAAATGTACCACCCCAGTGACAGCTTTATTTCTGCTAGTTTATTTCTGTTTGGCTGTATGATCATATTAGCATGCATGTAATTGTGCACAGGTTTGTGTGTGTCTCCTTGAGTGCATGATGTAAGTGAATGCAAGTAACTCTTTGAGAGGGCCCCCTGAATTGCCTGCAGCTGGAGAGTGTGTTGATGCTTGCGGAAAGGGTGGGATCTGTAAACAGAAGATAAGCTCAACTCCTCAATCAAACCATTATTACGGCACAGCTTCAGACATGACTGTATCAAACACTGCCATTGGCAACAATGAACTTTCTTTGTTGTGCACTAGTTGACTGCTAATGATGGTTGATTTATTTTGTATGGGAGCATGTTCTTATGCTATAATGGTGTGTCAAGGGTTACACTTTTGAGATTAAATTTTCACTGTTATGTTGTAGTTGTGATGTAGTTTGTGTCTTGCTAGATTAATGTGTGAAAAGAGAACAAGACTCATCTTCCAGTTGCACATTCAAAAAGCATGAGAGTCTAACATGAAACTGTAATCTGTTTATGTGCTGTCAAGTAACAATGCTAGGCAGTGATGCTCCTCTGTCTCCCTCTCAGTTAGAGGAGTGTGCACTGCAACTGGCTTCTAATGGCAACTACCTGGATCTGGATTCATCCCTTGCTGAACAGAGAGATGATCTGGAGCAGCTCTATGACGACGTGGAGTAAGAATGACTTCAAATGTTGCTATCCAATCTTCTCTCTCTTCCTCTCCTACTTTCTTTTTTTCCTTTCATTGTCTTTTAGTTTAAAGGGATGGTTCACCCAAATATTAAAATTACCCCTTGATTTACTCACCCTCAAGCCATCCTTGGTGTTTATGACTTTCTTCTTTTAGATGAATGCAATTGGAGTTATATTTAAAAATGTCCTGGCTCTTCCAAGCTTTTTAATGGCAGTGAATGGGTTTTATTTTTCAATAGTCCAATAGAAGTCCAATAAACTGCGCCAATCCATCATAAGGGGGTTAGTAAATGCCTCCTGAAGCAAATCGATGTGTTTTGTAAGAAAAATATCCATATTCAAAACGTAATCTCTAGCTTCTGCTAACTGTCGTACGCGCGTACACGAGATAGTGACGTTCTGACGTAGGTGTAGCATAACCTCCGGTGAGAAGTGACGAACGCGGAAGCGCAGAGGAGAGAGCAGAACAAAACACTGTTCACAAATTAGAAGTACAAAACGAGGATTTGTAAATAAAAATGCCGGAGGATTTCGATATAAGCCAAAGAGGAGACTGGTTTTCCTTTGCTAAACAATGGAAACTTTGCTTGTTTCTCGCAAGACTAGCATATTCTCACCAGAGCTTACGCTATGCCTACGTCATCCGGCTGGAACGCCCTACATTATTGAATGTAGTTCCTCCCTTGCTGACTTGAATGAATAAACTTAATTAAAAATGGTATTAAAGATGACATTTTTATTCATTCACAAAAAAAACGTATATTCTTTGTTTTAGGGAGAAATGAATTGAGAAAATCCTTCAAAATAACGTCGCCTTTGCATGAACAATTGGGGCAGTGTTATGCAAATCTTCCCACATAGTGATGTAGATATGTGGGGGCGTGTTAGAACAAGCCGTTTTAGGTAGGCGTGGTTGACTCTTAACTTTTATAAAGAATATCTCTTTGGAGTTGAGACTTTAGTCTTTGCAACTTTACAGATCTTCTTTATGCACCAAGAGCTTGTAACACTCCAAAGAGAAAGGAAAAATTGAAATCGCATCATATGACCCCTTTAAAATATAATAAAATTTAGGATGATCACATTATTTTTTGTATTTTAATAAGTACAGGTCAGAATAAGTATATTGTTTCATTTTTACATAAATATATCTGTTACGCTGAATGACCATGGTTTGTTACTCTGAATGACGATTTGCCAAAAAGAGAGATAATATTGCCATTGTTCCCATAACTGAAATGTTTTTCATATTAGTCTGTGTCATTAAATTAGTTTTAATAATATTCCTGAGTAAATTACTGCAGAAGCAGATGTTGAAATATATAATAAGCATTTTATTCTACTGTTCTGATGCTCCCCTGTCATGCTTGCTTAGCTTGTCTCTTTGTTTCTGACTTGCTCTGCCCCAAAAATTTCTGTTTGCAGCCATATTTATTAATAGATTATTTTCTATTTTAAACACAATACTTATGTTTGCCAACATAAATGGCATTATCAGGATGAGTATTTTTGGTGGAGAATCCCCTCAGTGACCTCTCTTGAACTTGTGTCATACTGTAGTGAGGGGGGAGTCTCTGTTCATAAATATTGGCAAGATATTATTCTGACAATTGCAATCCTCTGTAAATACCTTTCTCTTTTCCTTGCTAAAGGCTTATTCACACCAAGTGTGATAACTATAATGATAAAGATATAGTTAAAAAAACATTCTAAATATAAAAGAATAGCAGATTCCACAGCACAACCAACGATAACTGCACAGAGAAACGATATTGTTGGAATTTCAGTGTGATTTTTTTATTTTATTTTATTTTTTGCAGCTGATGAATGATAAAAGCATTGACAGCCAATCAGAATCCACTCCACTTAAAAGATCTCAAGCATTTAAAGCGGCAGATGATAAACCTGCAGCGCATTCATAGAGCAAACAGTGCTATTGTTCATTGGTGTGGAGGCTAGCATAGTTACTGTTATAGTTATCTTAGTTATTGTTCTTGGTGTGAACAGGCTTTAGAATCCCACTCAAGCTACTGGGTCCGCACATACTTTATTAGCTTTTTGGCTTTTTACAGTGCCTAGCAGCTCTCTCCGTTTGTGGGCATCTAAAATTAATCGATAACAAATTAATCAATACAAAAATGCATTCAAATATTAATATTTATTAAATTTGTCAATATTGAACATTCCTCATTAATCTGTAATATGAATAAGATGCTAAAATTATTTATACAGTGATACTGTCATTCAGTGTAATGGATGACACTGTGATATAACAGAATTTGCATTACTCCACATGACAAAAGTGACAAAAGCGTTACCCTGAATGACGGAACTTCTACTTCAGCTTATATTGCAGGCAATCACATGGCCACCTGTATCAAACAGTGAGCTTGGCCAGTAAAGTTAATCACAATTATTTACAACATCTCCTAATTTTTCAAAAAAATCTAACAATAAAAGTGTTTTTTGGCATTTCACTGAGTGACATGCGTTTTTGTAACTTCGGATACCACACCACCGTGAAAAGGAGGAATTATCAAATATTAAAGAGCAATTATTTCACTTTTCTGCAGCACCACATGGTGTTCAGGGTGCCATTTGATGATGTCACAGACTGTCGAATGACACTCAGTTTTTTATATGATTTCAGAATGGCTTGTTGCTGTTACATTGAATGATATCTGATAAACTGCATTTTCGGGACAAAAGTCCCCTTTAAAAAAAACAATAAGACATAGTCCTTTTAATGTAACAGCCAACACTTACTTGAAAATGCCAAGACAACCAATGTATATGTTTATTTAAAGATGTAATGGTAAGATCAAAGTCCGGACCATTACACTGACACTGACATTTTTTCACTTTGGAACATTATTTCCCCCATATTTTGACATTTTATTTTCACCAAACTTCTTTGAAATATGAAAGTAGACCCTTTACTTCCATTTAACGTCTCTTTTTATGTATATAAAATTACTTTTGTACTTTTGTAACAATGCTGCTGAATCTGTTGTAGTCAGGAAATGCACTGAAAACTCGATTCTCTCGTTGTTTGTGTTTAGTCTTTGCTATACTTGAGGAATTCCCCAATTTGTGTTAGTTTTGTAAACCAATGTCAACAATGACTAATTTCAACACAAATTTTTCTTTGCGAGCCAATGAACATCTGTTCAGTCTCCTTAGATCATAACTGTTCAATGTTCAACATTTTATTAAAGAAACACTTTATAAAATTCAAGGAAAAGGCTCAAAATGCTGACAAAATACAATATAATGAGCAGCAGTTTTTGGTATGTACCATGATGCTTAAAAGGGTGGTAGACAGTCACAGTACAGCTTGGAGAAAATTGCCCTGTTTAATCGTGTAGCACAGGTTAATGTTTAAGAAGATAAATGTATAGGCTAATACATAAGGATGACTATGACTTTGGCCATATTGTTCTTTTTTCTGTAGTACAAATGTAACACCTTCTTCAGTATGTCTATTATATGATTGAGATAAATTAACCTGTCCACTGGCTAAACTGCAAACAATGCTTGGACTAAAAGCACTTATTTTTCAGATGAATGGTTATTTATTATTCATTTATACTGTTGAAACCTTGCCAGATTGTTGTGTAGAACGTCTGTGAACCCCTGAATGTTCAGCATTACCTAATTATGACCGGTATCAGTTTCACTAAATCATTTATTAGTGTTGCTTAGTAACGCACAGTCATCAGACCCACCAAAAGACATGAGTGATTTCACAGAGGCAGAGCCAGCGTTTCAGTGTGCTGACCACAGCTTAAACTGACAGTCTCAGAATACACTGAATAGAGCTAAAACACTGAACCGCAAATCTAGAACTCTGAGTCAGCTCAAACTGAAGAATTGCATAACTTTGGATCTGTAATACTACTCAGGCTGTTTTTTTTCCTCCAGATTTGTTCAGCCGTGCTCTGGAGAATCACTTTAAAACCCAGCAGAGTGGTGTGTTTGTAAAGAGCTAAATTGTATATACAAGTGCACTCCATTTGTTTGTTTAACTATCAAAAGCTTTGGGTCAGTAAGATCTTATTTTCTTTTAAAGAAATTCATACTTTTATTCAGCAAGGATGCATTAAATTGATTAAAAGTGACAGTCAGATCATTTAGAACATTACAAAAGTTTTATATTTCTGTTTATACATATGTTTATTTAAAAAATATTAAGCAGCACAACTGATTTTAATATTGATTATAAGGTTATTATACTATTTGAAGACTGAAGTAAAGACTGCTGAAATTCACCTTTGCCATCACAAGAATTAATTACATTTTCAAATATATAATAAAATAGAAAACTTTCTAAACAGTTATAATATTATATAACTGTTTAAAAACTGTTGTATTTGAATGTTTTATGATTTTACTGTATTTTGGGTCAAGTAAATACAGCCTTGGTGAGCATGAGACTTTTTTTTTTTTTTTTTTTTACAAAAAAAATCTTACCTTAAAAATCTTAAGAATGTTTATATGTATTATGAGTCAAACTATTGCCATAATTTGCAATGTAATTTTTTCCCCCAATCTTATTAAATTGACCCAAGATCTCTACAGAATCCAAATGCAAATATTGCAAAAAGCAGTAGTGACCTTATTGTTGAAGGAGAACTAGCAGCTCCATGCCAGTGGAAATGCCTTCATTTCTCATTATGAAGTATTTTTAATCGAGTGGTCTTATTTTCTAAGGGCTCACTGTGTTTGTGGGTGTGTGTGTGTTTAAAGCATACATGGTTTGTATTTGTAAGCCGGCAAAAATGTAGCCACTGCTGGAGCTCCTTCAGGTTCGCTGAGATTGTCTGGAGGAAACACATCATTTAAAGCAGCAGCACTTGGAAAATAGAAGACAAAATTGGGGTGTGTGTGAGAATGTCTGTCTTTGTGACTGGGTGTATGAACCACACAGAACATCGTGAAGAAAACTTAAGCTTTGAATAGGTCCATTTTTAGCCATGAACGCTCTTGATGCATAGTTTCCATGTCTGTTTACTCTCTCTTTCCATACCTTAATCCCTACCGACCCATATTCTCTCTTTCTGATTCTGTCTCCAGTGTGCCTTCAGTGTAGTGTGTGTCTGTAGCTGTAATAATGACTAATCCACAGTGTTCTTTAAATGTATTTTGCTCCATCTGCATTATCATTAAAGTAGTGAAAGAATTCAAATGAATAGAATTCAACTATTATGATGATGAGAAGCACAAACTGTTTGTGTGTTTCTGAATGAAGTTGTTTGGTTTGCTGTGTGATATCTTGATTCTCAAATTTTCTTCTTTCTACAGAAAAGGCAAAAAGCCCATCTTGATTCTCCGTACGCAGCTCTCAGTACGGGTTCATTCCATCCTAGGTAAGAGTGTATGCACAGTAATACTCTGTGATGAACATATGATTAATTTGCATGCTCCTTTCATAAGTGTTTGTATCTGTATTGCTGAGGTGGCAAGTACGTCATCCCTAGCTTTCCATTCTGGCTGTTGGTTTAGTTTGTCTTGGAGAAGGAATAAATGGGTCACGTTCTCCAAAAATGCTGAAATGGTATTATCCCTATATGGTTTTTCCTCTCAGTTGGGAACTTTCCAACTATGTCCTCATAATCCTCAGTGACAACTTCAGGTTCAGCTAGGCTTTCATTGTAACATGGATCTGTTAAAGTGATGAACATAAGAGCTCCCCACTTAATAGTTCAGCTACAATTGGTTTAAGTCAGCGATTTAAGTGAAGATTCATCCATATTTGTCTTTTATGGTCATCATAAACTGTTTTAAGCTGGCCTATAAGCAAGTATAATGCCCAGTTTTTTATTTCGGTAACCATTTACTTGGGCAAGTGTATTCCGCTTCTGCCAGGTATGTTAATATTATAGCATATACGTTAAACCACACTTGTGCATCTACTTTGACCATTAAGCTGTTGTTGAGTAAATTGTTGTATTATGTGTGTGTCCATTTGTGGGATACATATGGTGTATAATAACAGCAATAACGGTCCAGATGTTCTTCACTCTCCTTCATTTAGTTTTTGGTTCAGCTAGACTTGATAAATGTAAGCTTAAGGACAAAACATAATGAACAAAGCCACAGTAGCATAAATAGATTCTGCTAACACCAAGGTTTGAGTCCATGGTCCAGTTTTGGCATCAGATGTATACTGTTAATTTACCTCGTGAAGTTAGCTTAGTTCAGCTACAATTGGTTTAAGTCAGCGATTTAAGTGAAGATTCATCCATATTTGTCTTTTATGGTCATCATAAACTGTTTTAAGCTGGCCTATAAGCAAGTATAATGCCCAGTTTTTTATTTCGGTAACCATTTACTTGGGCAAGTGTATTCCGCTTCTGCCAGGTATGTTAATATTATAGCATATACGTTAAACCACACTTGTGCATCTACTTTTACCATTAAGCTGTTGTTGAGTAAATTGTTGTATTATGTGTGTGTCCATTTGTGGGATACATATGGTGTATAATAACAGCAATAACGGTCCAGATGTTCTTCACTCTCCTTCATTTAGTTTTTGGTTCAGCTAGACTTGATAAATGTAAGCTTATGGACAAAACATAATGAACAAAGCCACAGTAGCATAAATAGATTCTGCTAACACCAAGGTTTGAGTCCATGGTCCAGTTTTGGCATCAGATGTATACTGTTAATTTACCTCGTGAAGTTAGCTCATTTCCAGTCCTGTTAAATGCATACACCCTTTCAAAAATGTATATACTTGGAAAAACATTAACACTCAAATAGCATATCTAAATATCTAATTTCTGATGTCCAGGATGTAGTTACAGAGTGACCTTTGGAGGGTTTTCTCTCCACATATTTAGAAAGTGGAAAGTGCAGAATGAATGGCACCCCATCAGTGTCACCAAACCAGAATACTCAATTTCTAATCAACTTGGCCATCTGCACTGGAAGTTTCAGGTATATGCCATTTCATGTGATGGTATAAACATTTGATTGTTCACTTACTTTAAATTTATTTTGATTATTTATTTAAATTATTATAGTGTGTTTTTGTTTTTAAAACAGAAAATATTTTAACCTGTTAAAAAAGCATTTGCGGCTATAGGCCAGTTGCCAGGACCTAGTCACGCCCTTTCATTTTCATTAGTATTGTGTGATGTATAGTGAACAGATGAGTAGGTTGAAACGAGGACTATGGAAAACCTAGTGATACCCTCTGTGTATTCACTTTCCGTCACACTATGCCGGTCTCCCCTCCGTTCTGTCTGTGAATGCATGTCTTATTTTTCTACTGATGGGACATGTTTGAATGGAAGTTGGTTTTTGAGTGTGATATGCGTGTGTATTTGAGCAACACAAAGAGAACAATACACCTCAAGACAGGACAGACCAGTCCAGCCCTGGGGTTTCTGGGTCACTGTGTGATACACAACACTCCCAACTGGCTCTGATGGTGTGCTGAATCTTTGTTATTGCTTTTGTGGTCATACACAAAAGATAAATGATTTAGCAGTTTTGCCCAGTAGATTTTTATTTCTAAACTGCTTTCTTGTAATAATTGAGGCAATGCCGAGTCATTGTAATTGTTTTGTCAGGAATGTCAAATGGAATGTTCAGGAATTTATTCACATTGCCTGTTTGTTTTCTCTGTCTCTTTTCATGAAGTGTTGCTCTTTTGTTTCCCCCTCTATGTTGACCATAAAAAAAGGAGAAAAAAAATTCTTGGCAGTATGTATCACATTTGGATCAAGTTTGAATCAAAGAGCTCATCAATCCACTCAGTCCAACCCCCACGGAGCTATTGTAGTGTCTGGCATACTTTCAGTTTTATTAATTGAGTCAAACTATGTTCACACTTTCACTCATTTGTTACAAACAAGTGACAAGGCTCCGTTCCAGTGCTCGCTGTGACTGCATGGTCACATGACTTTGGCTCTAGAACATGAGCCACCAGCGCTCTGTTGATGCTGTCAGTGCCAGCTGGCCCGGCCAATCAGATACGAGTAAAACATATTGGCTGATTTTACTGAGATCCAGCATTCTAAAGAAGCCATTATAATTAGTCATGGCTGCTTATTATTTTTTCAGTTGGAACGGGCTTGTCACTTGGCTAATAACCGTGTCTAGAGAAATGGGTAATTTTACAGTTGCTTTGGATTCAAAGTAATGCATGATCTTTTATCATAACTATGCATATGAATACTCTTCAGGGTTTATGCGCTCCTCCTCCAGTGATTTAAAAAAAAAAAGATTCTTAGCTGAATCACAGCTTGCTTTTCCCCGTTTGCATAATTCACATTTTTAAGTGTGAATTGGACTTTCCGGGCTATTTTATGATGACTTGTTTTTCATACTATTCCTGATATCCAGCAAGTTCAGTCTTTTTCTGTATCGGAACATTGTGTTCCTTTCCATTCAGTATCAAGTGTGTCCTCTGTTGCTCTCTGCTGCAGACATAATTTATGGAAATGAAAGAATCTGCTGTTACTTCCCGGGTATCTGAAGGAGTGTGTAAAATATGTATATATCCGTTCAGGATAAAAAGACTGCTGGCTTTGCGATTTATAGCTCCACAGAGGCTTATCAATATCTAATGTACACATTGTGGCTCATATAAGTGCTTCTGTGAACTTTAAGTAAAGTTACAACATCAGTTAATTAAAAAACATATCCTTTCATAACAACCACAGCCTCTGTCCCTGTTTTATAATGTGTGGTTTTAGGGTGAAAAACGAAGGCAGGCTTAATCTCCTTCTGTTTTCCTGTTGTTTTAGAAATAAGCTGATGCGACAGCCTATCCTTATAGTCATGTGTGAATCAGAGGAATTTTAATGGCAAACTAAGTTTTTTTTTTAGTGTCAGTTTCGGGACATTTGCTAATGTTTTTATTTTTGCACTGTATGAATGACTGATTGAAATGGCACAGGTTCCCACAAAACAATGTAGTTCATCATATCCTGTACTCAATCAAGGGTTTTGTTTTTCCATTGTACCAATAAAGGTTCAAAGCTTTCCTCAGAATCCTCAGCTTGCAGGTCCTTGCAACATTTATTCTTGCCGCAACTGGATAAATTGAGCAATATCATATTATTGTCTCCTGCACATAAACTTGTAAATGTGGAATTGATTGGGTATTTACCTGGTTTCTGACTAAATATGAAGATATGTAGATTGTTCAGTGTTTAATAAGCTACAGTATATGTGTAATATTGAACCGACAACACTGATAAGTGAATAGATTTTGATGTCTGAATATCTGAATTAAAAGCAACAATTAGCTGTTAAATTTCATGTGCTTTACTTTCAATTTAAAATAAAATTAATAAAGGTTCAAAGCTTTCCTCAGAATCCTCAGCTTGCAGGTCCTTGCAACATTTATTCTTGCCGCAACTGGATAAATTGAGCAATATCATATTATTGTCTCCTGCACATAAACTTGTAAATGTGGAATTGATTGGGTATTTACCTGGTTTCTGACTAAATATGAAGATATGTAGATTGTTCAGTGTTTAATAAGCTACAGTATATGTGTAATATTGAACCGACAACACTGGTAAGTGAATAGATTTTGATGTCTGAATATCTGAATTAAAAGCAACAATTAGCTTGTGCTTTACTTTCAATTTAAAATAAAATCGGTCAAAATAATCACTTTTGAGAAAGTGCATAAAAAATAGTAAGCTCAGAAAAAGGCTGTGGCAACTTTTAAAGTGTTTCCTAAGTAATTCAGTGTAGGAGGAACAGTGTCATTTAAATTGCCCAACAGGAAATGCCATGGTGCAGATAGGTCATCCCTAAGGCCTCGGGCTTCTATTTCCTACTCTGTTTATGTAAGGCTGGGCAGCAGCACATACTGTTCAAATTTTAGCAAAGCCACCCGTACGTCTGTCATTAGCATCAATTCTCTAACACCTCAACAGGCCTCTCTCCCTCACATACACACGTGAACATGAACCACAGGTCGTAGTTTTCATAGTCAAATAAGCATTTTATGTAATCATTCAAGTGGTATTTCAAACCTTGAAGTGGACGTCATTGTGCCAAAATGGGACAGCTGAGTTTATTTTTATATTTGATGCCACCCCGCACACAGTTAGGCCCCTTAAATGCCTCTAAAATCTTTCTTCCATCTACTGCTTAAATATTTAACTCTCTCCAGCTCACAGAAGAAGCAAAGTGACTTCTGGATCTAACTAAACTGTTGTTGGCTGATTTGCTTCAAATCCCTGTGTCTCCATACTGCAGGGTTCCCACAGTCATGGCAGACCTGGGAGAAAAAAAGTGAATAGTGAACCCAAAAATGATGTACGACTTGCTTTCTTCTGTTGACCTCAAAAGACGATGTTTGGGAAAATGTCTGTTGTTTTGTCCATACAATGAAAGT